CTCTCTCTCTCTTTCTTTCATGGATGGAGCTGATTATTTAAAGTATACAAAGGTGTTCTACACATACATTATAACTTGTCTTTAAATATGTTTTGTTATCTCTACTTGAATTACTATTCTCTTCCATTTCCTAAATGTGTTTACTAAGTATATACCACAGCTTTTCTTCCCCTTATCCACTGTCATTTCATTATTCTATTTCTAGCTATTCAACCTTTGCCAATGCCTCTAACTTTATTTTATTAATAATAAATCCGTACTGCTCCAACCCAGAACTATTTCCTCATCTTGATGTTTATCCAGCCTCCAGCCCATTAAGATATGAGAGTGGGGGGTAGGACAGGAATTAAGTGGAACAATGAAGATGAAACGTGAGGCTATAGGGAGAGATGGGACACAGTGATGAGCAAACAGGGTCGGAAAGAAGGATGGAAGTGAAGGAAAGGACACAGGAGAGAATGGGAAGACAGAAGAAGTATATCTCTTTTCTGATACTCCCGGGTGTCCAGACACTTAAGGATCAGAGAACTTGGGTTTCCCTCAAAGGGCAAAGTTCTTGTGAACATGAACCAGGGATGTGGTCATCTCAACATTCCCATGCATCCACTGGTCTGTGATCTTGGAAAGTGCCTTACCATGGTCAGGCTTGTGTCCACCTGTACCGTAAGAGACTGGACAAGATTGTCTATCCACACGTCTTCACATTGAATGACCTCTGATCATAATAGACTGAATGAACTTTTCCCTGGGTCTGAACAACTCAGAAGACATTCTGAGAGCATTACCACCACTCCGTCTACCCCATGAGCAGCTGTCACTTGTCTGTGACCCCCGAAGGTCCCAGCCCTGGCATTGCCTCCTTCTCAACATTCATCCCTCTCCTGTGTTCTGCCTGTCCTCCAACACCAAGGGGTTTCCTGAACAAGTGAGAAAGTTGTGTTTCCCTTGGGATTTCTGTCTTTGTGCTTCCCAGTCTACATATATTTATTTTAAAAATTATTCAGAATGTTACACCTAATAGTGGAAACATTGAAACGATATTATTTTGTCAAGTAGAAAATAAAACTCCAAATGTTCCTTCACTGCACCAAAAATCACACCACTCAGAGTTAACACCTCTTAAAATTGTTGTGTATTTTCTTCTAGAGATTTCCCGTATATATGATATGCCCATTTCATGTCAGTAGAACCATACTGTTGTGTGATCTGCTTCTTGTATTTCCTACGTTATGCAATACAATCTTTTACATAACAAAGACGAACATCCTGCTTTATCTGTTTTAATGGTGGCACAGTATATCATTAAACATATAAGCCACGGTTTATTTCATCAAAACTCCATTTATATAATTTGGGTTGTTTTCAATTGTTTTGTAATAACAACGTTGTGATGAACATCCTTACTGAGCTGTCTTTTTTTGAGACGGAGTTTCACTCATGTTACCCCCAGGCTGGAGTGCAATGGCGCGATCTCGGCTCACCGCAACCTCCGCCTCCTGGGTTCAGGCAATTCTCCTGCCTCAGCCTCCTGGGTAGCTGGGATTACAGGCATACGCCACCATGCCCAGCTAATTTTTTTGTATTTTAGTAGAGACGGGGTTTCACCATGTTGACCAGGATGGTCTCGATCTCTTGACCTCGTGATCCACCCGCCTCGGCCTCCCAAAGTGCTGGGATTACAGGCTTGAGCCACCGCGCCCGGCTAAGCTGTCTTATTGAGAAATAAAAATTGTACCTGTGCTATAAAGCATGTTTGGTAAATGTATGTATTGTGAAATGATCACCACAATCAAGCTAATTTACATATTCATCACCTCATAGATGTTTTTTTGTGTATGCGATGAGAACATTTAAAATCTACTCTTAGCAGATTTCAAAGACATAATACATTATTATTAACTATAGTCATCATGCTGTACAACAGAGCTCCAGAACTTATTGCTTCTGCCTAATTGAAATTTTGTGCCCTTTGACAAGCATCCAAGATTATCCTTATTTGTTTTCCTCTTTAGGTCAAGTTGGTTTTTCATCTCTTGCCTTCTTTCAAGTTTTTGTCTTTTCCTTCATGTTCTGAAGTTTATCATATTTCCACATGTAGATTATTTGGGGTTTATCCCATTTTGTTATTCTCTGAGTTTCCTAGATCTGTGATTTGATGTCTGTTATTAATTTTGGAAAATTCTCAGACACTATTACTTCAAATATTTATTCTGTCTCTCTTTCTCTCTCTTCTACTTCCGGTATTACCATTATGTATATGTTACATCTTTCATAATTGTCCCACAGTTTTGGGATATTCTCTCATGGTTTTTGGATTTTTTTTTCTATTTGCTTTTCAGTTTGGGAAGTTTATATCGATATATCTTCAAGCCCTATAGGAATATTTTCAAGTTACAGATTATTTTTCCTCAGGCATGTCCAGTATACTGATGAGCCCATCGTCTTTGTCCATTTGGGCTGCTATCACAGAATCCATGGACTGGGTGGCTTATAAACAGGAGAAATTTATTTCTCACTGTCCTGGAGGCTGGGAAGTCCAATATCAAGGTGCTGCCAATAGATCCGGGATCTAATGAGAGCCCACCTCCTGAGTCATAGGTGGCTGTTTTCTCATTGCATCTGTACGTGGTACAAAGGACAAAGGAGCTTTCTGGGGCTCATTTTGTGAAGCACTAATCCCTTCCATGAGAGCTCTGCTCTCATGACCTAATCATTTCCCCAAGGCCCCACCTCCAAATACCATCACATTAGAGATTAGATTTCAACACATGAGTTTTATGGGGGGAAAACATTCATTCTACATACCCATCAAAGGTATTCTCCATTTTTGTTACAGTGTTTTGAATTTCTAGCATGTCCTTTTGATTCTTAAAGTTTCTGTCTCTCTGCTTACATTAATCATCTTACATGTGGTACACTTTTTCCATGAGATCCCTTTGCATATTAATCACAGTTATTTTAAATTCTCAATCTGATAATTCCAAAATCTCTGTCATGTCTGATTCTGGTTCTGGTACTTGCTTTGTCTCTTCAGACTGTGTGTTTTACCTTTTAGCATGCCTTGTAATTTTTGTTGAATGCTAGACATCATGTATGGGTAAAGGGAACTATGGTAAATAGGCCTTTAGCGGGAAGTGTTCTTATGGTCAGAAGTTAGGCTGTGTTTACTGTTTGCTGTAGCTGTAGTTATCAGTGGCTGAAATTTCCTCTACTGTCCTTGTTTTTATTTCCCCATTGTCTTTGGGTTTCTCTTCATATTCCTTTATAAATAGTATTGGAGCCTTGCCATTCTTTCCATTTTAATCCTGTCAGTATACAGGAGTCCTATTGATGTGGTGTTGGGATGCAGAGCCAGGGAAAGCATCCTATAATCCTATGATTAGGTCTTCATCTAACTCAGGTCTCACATGAGTCTGTGCTCCTGCGCTGTTGCTTTCACGTGGTGAAACCCTGCCTCTACTAAAAATAGAAAAATTATCCAGGGGCGGTGGCAGGCACCTGGAATCCCAGCTACATTGGAGGCTGAGGCAGGAGAATCACTTGAACCCAGGAGGTGAAGGTTGTAGTGAGCCGAGATTATGGCACTGGACTCCAGCCTGGGCGACAGAGCGAAACTCCATCTCTAAATGAATAAATAGCAAAAGAGAATACCTCTCACAAAGCTAGTGCATGGAGGAGAGAGGGCCCAGTACTGGGCAGTGGCTGTGCAGTAGGGGAGGGAGTGGCATGGTGGAGGGGACGGAAGGAGGTTTGCTTTCCTGCCCTAGGGGCTGTTCCCAGCCAGGGATGACTACTGCAGCCAAACAAAACAGACTCCTGGCATTGCTGCCCCCACCTGCCGTCCGCCCAGTGTGCCACCCGGGACAGGGTCTGTAGGGCCATGCAGGTGACTTTCTGTGTGTGTGAGAGAGGAGTGCCTGTCCAGTGGGAAGGGCCCTCCCATGCCCTCCTCAACAATGCTGCAGGGTGACTCAGCCCAGGGGAGTCCGGACAGGCTGCATCCGAATCCACCCAGTTCACAGGAGCCCTGCTGTCCACAGTGTGTGGGGCACGCCATGTACTTGGTGAGCCGGTGACCCAGCTTCAAATCTAGGCCACGTGCTGGCTGTGCGGACTTAGGCAAACAGCCTCCTCCTGGGGCGCAGTGTCCTCACTGGTGGAAAGGTGCTGTGAGTTTCAAGGGAGACCCAGAGACAGCTGGCTGGGAAGGTTAAGATCCCCGTGCGTTAGTGTTACGACCAGGCAGAGACTGCTTCTGGACTTCCTGCTTCCGAGGGGAACCATTTCTTCTGGTTTGTGCACTGCATCATACTCTCGCCTGATTTTCTCAGTCAGTGTTGGAACTACCACATGCTCCCCTCCTGCACAACGTGGTTAAGTCAGACTCAGTGATAGAACTGCTGGACAGGGGCCGGGCGCGGTCACTCACACCTGTAATCCCAGCACTTTGTGAAGCTGAGGTGGGTGGATCACCTGAGGTCAGGAGTTCAAGAACTGGCCAGCATGGTGAAACCTCATCTCTGCTAAAAGTACAAAAATTAGCCGGGTGTGGTGGCACATGCCTGTAATCCCAGCTACTCGGGAGGCTGAGGCAGGGGAATCACTTGAACTGGAGAGGTGGAGGCTGTAGTGAGCTGAGACTGTGCCACTGCACTCCAGCCTGGGTGACAGAGAGAGACTCTGTCTCAAAAAAAAAAAAAAAAAAAAAAGTTTGACTGGCCACTGCTCCCCAGAAGTGAATTCTTTCTGTAGATGAACGCCCTTATTCCATCCCAGGCATCATGTCTGATCCTTGCATCAGCCAGATGGAAGGTGAGTGAGTGTCGTCAGCCTCATTTTACAGGTGACACTGGGGGCTCCAAGAGGCTACGCTTTGTCGAGGGTCACAAATAGGAAGCTCGCAGCAGAGTGAGGGCCAGCACCAGGGCTCCTGCCCGTCCCCTGGGGCCTGTAGGCACCGGGCCTAGAGTGCGGGACCTCACACCAGCAGGCACGGGTTCTCATATTCCTCTTCCCTTACTGACTCTGTGACCCTAAGACAGACGTTTAAGCTTTGGATGACAATACTGCCTCCTTCATGATAATAACGACCCACAGCATTTATTATACAGCAATCAGCGTTCCAAGTGCTGAGCGCATTGTTAAGACTGAACCCTCACCACCATAGTGGACACCACCATCATTCCCATTTCACGGATGAGAACACTGAGTCACAGAGAGGCTTCTGCGGCTCGCCAAGGTCATCAGGCTGATAGGAGGCAGTGTTGGGATTTGAACCCTGGTGATCTGGCTCAAGTCTGTGCCGTCAGCCCAACGGCCCTGCCGCCTCACCTGAGGCTGCTGTGAGGCCGACAGCGGCCAGATGTGGGGTGTGCCAGCCCAGCACGGGCCAGCTGTGGCTCCGCTCCTGTTACTAACCCCTGCGAGGCCAGGTGCTCTTCCTCCGGCCCTTTCTTCTGACCTTTGCTTTTCTGTGGATTCTGTTTTCCTTGTTTCTCTAGGGGATCAAGCTTGAAGAGCAGAAGCCAGGACCCCAGAAGAACAAGGTGGGCTGGGTGGGTGAGGGGGCGGCCAGATGGCCCTGGTGAGGGGCCAGGGTGAGAGGAAGGCAGGAGGAGCTGCCAGGTGCTGGGGTCTTCCGTCTCACACCCTCTAACTCTGACCTTCGCCACGGCCCCTGAGTGACTGTGCCCTTGTTAGCCTAGTGCAGGATGGGCAGCAAAGGGGTCCTGGCTCCATGCCTTAGGGCAGCTTCTGAGCAGGCTGGGGGAGGCCTCGGTGGGAGCTCAGGCTTGGCCGTGTGGCCTGGCTCTTCCCTGTCCTGTACAGCGTGAGGCTGTCAGGCTATGTCCTGGGTTCCAGGGGGCAGTCGGCTCTCAGCTTCAGGTTCCATTTCCAAGCGCAGGGGTGCCGCTTATGCCTTGGAGGTCAGACCCCTTGCCTAGAGACGAGCGCTGGGTGAGACCAGGGGTCGTTTTCCGGAATTGGCATTCTAGGATGAGGAGCTGGTATCACGGGCGGTGAGAAGTTCAGCGCCTTCGTCTATTGCATCATCAGCTGGCAGGGTTTATGTTCGGGTTCTGTCAGTTTGGACAAGAACATGGTGGATGTCCGATCCCAGAGCTGCTTCTGAGCTGTTCTTCCACTGACTGTGCCTCCCTCAAAGCCCCAGGCAGCCTGCTAAGCCCCCACGGCAGACCCCCTTGCTAGGCCTGGAAACAGCGCTCAGACTCCATGAGCGCTGCCGGGACTCGCGGTGACGTCCCCTGGTTTGTCTTGCAGGATGACTACATCCCGTACCCCAGCATCGACGAGGTAGGCACCCCACCCCCGACTCCCACCTGCTCTGCAGCCTGCGCTGGGTCCCGTCCCTGGGAAATGAGGGCCATGGGCCGTGCCAGCCCCACAGGGGAGAGAACCTGGGGCCTGGGACCTCCTTCCTGTCTTTGCCGTTGTAACCGCAGCTTTTCCATGTGGAAGTTGGGGGTGCTCATCTCGGCCTTGCCACCCTGGGGCTACAGGGTTGGTGAAGGAAGCTGGAGAGGCTGTGGGGCTTAGAAGAGGGGTTCATGTTACTGCCTTTGGCCTCAGGTACCAGTGGGTACCAGGCCCTCTCCTGGGAGCAGCACGGAGGTAGTGGGGACACGGCCACTGGCCCCCTCTCCCCTGCGGTCCCAAAGGCCGGCTGCAGTGCGAGGCCCTCCCTCTGCCTTCAGGTTGTGGAGAAGGGAGGCCCGTACCCTCAGGTCATCCTGCCCCAGTTTGGGGGCTACTGGATTGAGGACCCGGAGAACGTGGGCACCCCAACATCGCTGGGCAGCAGCATCTGTGAGGAGGAGGAAGAGGACAACCTCAGCCCCAACACATTTGGCTACAAGCTGGAGTGCAAGGGCGAAGCCAGGGCCTACCGCAGGCACTTCCTAGGGAAGGTGAGGCTGGGGACCTGGGGAGAGGAGCTGCCGGGGTGGGGGAGGGCAGGGTGCCCTGGGGTCCTCTCTCCAGGGCCTACCGCAGGCACTTCCTAGGGAAGGTGAGGCTGGGGACCTGGGGAGAGGAGCTGCCGGGGTGGGGGAGGGCAGGGTGCCCGGGGTCCTCTCTCCAGGGCCCCCTTTTCCTTTGCCTCTTACCTCCTTCCCAGTCTGTGCTTTCGTTTCTGCCTGCTGCTGTCTCAGTTGCAGGGTCTGATGGGCTGTGTCCTGGGATAGGGGACGGGGCAGGGGGGCCGTGCACAGTCGGGGGGCCCAGTGCAATGAGTCCTTGTGCCGCGCTGGTGGGTGGGGGCAGCTCCAGCCAAGGTCTTCTGAGTCCCGGACCCTTGGGTGCCGCTTGCACCTGCACCCACAGTAAACAGACTCTGGGTGACCGTCTAGAAGACTTGAGCTGCTGTTGACAAGTCGATGTGCCAGTTTTCGTATGCATTGAAAGAAATATTTAGTAATTTCAACTTTGCACTTCTAGTATTTTGAAGCTAGCAATACATTTTCTTTTCTTTCAGGATCCAAGCGTGTTATTAATCCTTGAAAAGCCTGTAAGCCTAAGGCACAGGTGCCTGCAGCGGCTGGTGCATAAAACTGTTTCTCCCAACCATCTCAGCGCACACGCTGCAGGTTTTCATGAAATCGCTGGGTTCTGACTCATGCGAAACAGGCCAGTGGCTACTCAGACCCCGGCAGAGCCTGCCCAGCCTTGCTGCCGAGGCCCAGACCTGGGTCCTGTTGAATACACACACCCAGATAAAAGGTGAAGCCACACACATCAGAATGGGAACAGTGAGGGCTCCAGCTGAACAGTCAAAGTGAATGTAGAATTTGTTGTATGAGCCAACCCGGGTCTGCTGCTGGGACCCAGGCGGTGGTCTAGTCATGAGGACTTGCAACAGGAGGCAGGGGGCAGTTGGCGGTGCCACGTTGGCAACCTGGCAAAAGCCGCTCCAGCAGCGTCGCTTGCTCTATTTGGGTCACTGCTGTGTTGCTCTGAGCTGCAAAAACCACAAAGTTAACACAGAGCCTTATTGCTGTGTCTAGGTCATTTGACCTCGTACATTCTATGATCTCACGTGGAGACACAGACAGGCTCAAGCCGCTGGGCCAGAAAATCTGTGGAGGAAAGATGGACATCTGAAAGGATACACTTCCCCACTGTCGCCCGTGGCTGCTGTGATGTCACAGTGGACGTGAGAAGTGGAAGGGTGTAGACGAATTTTATTAATTGATTGATTGAGACAAAGTCTCCCTCTGTTGCCCAGGCTAGAGTGGCACAATCTCCATTCACTGCAATCTCTGTTTCCTGGGTTGAAGCGATTCATCTGGTTCAGCCTCCCAAGTCGCTGGGATTACAGGCACCTGCCACCACTCCCGGCCAGTTTTTGTATTTTTAGTAGAGACGGGGTTTCGCCATGTTGGCTAGGCTGGTGTTGAACTCCTGACCTCAGGTGATCCACTCGTCTTGGCCTCCCAAAGTGCTGGGATTACAGGTGTGAGCCACTGTGCCCAGCCTTTTTTAAAATTATTATTTTACTGTTGACAGTATGCTTTTTAAAAACTAATACGCAAGCAAAAATTTAAAAAAATAAGAAAAAAATCAAGAAAATGAAAATTAAAAAAATAAAAATGAATAAAAACTAATACGCCAAGTGTGGTGACTTATGCCAGTAATCCCGGCACTTTGGGAGGCCGAGATGGGCAGATCACGAGGTCAAGAGATCAAGACCATCCTGGCCAACATGGTGAAATCCTGTCTCTACTAAAAATACAAAACTTAGCTGGGCCTGGTGGTACCAGTTACTCAGGAGGCTGAGGCAGGAGAATCACTTGAACTCTGGAGGTAGAGACTGCAGTAAGCCAAGATCACACCACTGCACTCCAGCCTGGGCGACAGAGTGAGACTCCATCTCAAAACAAAACAAAAAACAACGGAAACTAATACATACACGTGAAAAAAATACAAGCCATGTAATGAATAATTAGCGATAAGTCTCCTGCTCTAGCGGGCGAGAGTCAGCTCCGGTCCCTGTTTCCATGTCCGCGGGGAAATGCTAAGTGTCTTGAGCGTCCCTCACAACATAGTCTACGAAAATAGGCACTTAGCACACACTTCTTACTGTTAACTCTCTGCATATTTGCATTGTTTCTGCAGGCAAGGCGATTAGAAAGCCAATTAAAAAACGTCAGTGGCCGGGCGCAGTGGCTCGCGCCTGTAATCCCAGCACTTTGGGAGGCCGAGGCCGGTGGATCACGAGGTCAAGAGATCGAGACCATCCTGGTCAACATGGTGAAACCCCGTCTCTACTAAAAATACAAAAAATTAGCTGGGCATGGTGGCACGTGCCTGTAATCCCAGCTACTCAGGAGGCTGAGGCAGGAGAATTGCCTGAACCCAGGAGGCGGAGGTTGCGGTGAGCCGAGATCGCGCCATTGCACTCCAGCCTGGGTAACAAGAGCGAAACCCAGACTCAAAAAAAAAAAAAAAAAAAAAAGTCAGTGAGTACTTAATAATAATATGGGTTAAGTAGGATGGAGTTTTGATTTTTTTTTTTCACAGTCCAGTGGTATCTTAGCTACCGCTGCTGGGGGTACTCAAAATATGCATTTCTGGTCATTGTCTTAAGAGCTGAGATCTGGAGAGTGTGTGTGTGTGTGTGTGTGTGAGAGAGAGAGAGAGAGAGAGAGGAGGGGGGGTATTCTTAGGCTAAGAAGATGTTTTTGGCCCATAGCTAAGTTGGCGGCAGGCCTGATGGTGGAGGAATTGCAGGCCAAGAAGTGTGTCCTGTGGCCTTGGAATGGACGAAACAGACCTGGGCCCCATTTTAAATGGCAGGCGGTTTTCCTCCATGGGCTCCGAGGCACGAGAGGGCGGATGTGCATTCACTCCTCAGCTGCTGTCGAAGCAAAGCTAGGTTGCGCTACCCTGGCAGCCCTTTCACCCGCTCTGCATTTCACCCTGGGTGTCGGCGTGAGTGCAGAGGCTACAATTTGATGTGGCTTCCACAGGCTTGTAGTCAGGAAGTTGCAGCCATGTCTTGCGTCAGTTGTGTGGCCTCAGTCCTCTTACTCATCCACCTGTTCATTCAACAGGTATTTATCAGGCATTTACTATGTCTGAAACATCGACCTAGATGCCAGGAAAACTGGTGAACACAGAACGTCTCATCAGGAGCCTGCTGCTGGTAAGGGGCAGGCTAGATGCTGAGAGGTTCTGCTTTTGAATGTTTGATACTTTGATTCACCTTCCGAAAGCACACAGTCTTGGCTTGCCTCCCTGCAAGTTTTACCTCCTAAATTCCCCTCTGATCCTTCCATGCCTTTATGCTTCTGTTACTGCCTGTGGAGGTCCGTCCCCTCACTTCGATAAAGCTGGAAGTCTCCTGACTGGTCTCCCCGACTTCACTCTTCATCCCTGTCTCACGTCCAGTGTTCAGAATGCCACCTAACACCAAGCTGGGGGTGTCATTTCCATGCCTGAGACTTCACGGGCTCTTTATTGCCTACTGCATAAAATCCAAGCTCCCTAGGTAGCCATAGGAGACCCTTGGTGACATTGCTCACACATGTCTGTGGACATATGGAGGTGACCTTCAAGGATGGCTCTCCCTTCAAGGACAGACATGCTCCCCAGCTGTGAGGAGTGTGGTCAGAAACAGCCTTCAGCTGTCAGCTCCCGTAGGGTTTTCCTGAGCCACAGAGAGCGTCCTCCCACAGGCAATCCCTTTTCCTGGATAGCCCACACCTGGTGATTGAGGCGGGATAAAGACCGAGCATTTTCACCTGCATCCTCTCAGGACGAGGAGGGGAAAGAACACCGCACCTTGACACGGCACAGTGTTCTTTCCCCCCTGATATGGGACAGCCCCGATGGTCTTCCCTGATTCTGAGTGTCTCTCCTGGGTTGGTGCTATGGTGTGAATGTGTCCATTCCAAAAGCCACACGTTGAAACTTCATAGCTGGCGTGAGAGTATTAAGAGGCGGGGCCTTTAAGAGGTGATCAGGCCATGAGGCTCCCCCCATGTGGATGGGATTAAGACCCCTTATAAAACAGGCTTCATGCAGCGCGTGGCTTTCCTCCTCTTTCACCTTTCGCCCTGTCGAGGTGCAGTGTTCTTTTCCCCGCCGCCCCGAGAGGATGCAGTCACAAGATGCTGCCTCGGAAGCAGAGGGACCGGGTCCTCACTAGCTGGCACCTTGGTGTGGATTTACCAGTCTCCAGAACGGTGAGAAATAATTTTCTGCTTTTTATAAATTACCCGGTTTCAGGAATGTTGTTATAGAAGCACAGACACTTGGCTTTCTGGGTGGCGTGTCCGCAATGTGACTTGCTCCTCTGCCCAGTCAAGCATCTTCCCTTGTTCTCTCACAGGTACTGTTCCCTAGTACACACCTTCTACTCCAGACTCTCTCACTTCCCTCTGGAGACCCCAGCCTGTGACCCTGCCTGGCCAGCGTCGTTGCCCGCCGCTCTGTTTACTCCAGACTCCCTAGAACTCCCTGCACATGCCGTGTTGGAAATCACCATGCTTTCATCTGTGCTATTCCCTTTCCCTCGCATTTCTTCTCGGTTTTTTTGTTTTTTTTTTTTTGGGGGGCGACAAAACTATTTTCCTGTCCTTTGAAACCCAGCTCACAGAGTATCCCCTGCCTGGCTGCTTGTTGCTGGGCTGGGCTGGCTGCTTTGTTCTCTCTGCCTCCCTTTGCTTACAGAGTACTGCTGTCGTTGGTGGGTACAGTATTGTACACAGAAGTGTCTTTGGTACCCAGAAGTGATGGATTCTAGAGCAGAAAGGGAACCAGGACTACCTGACAGGGTGGCTAACTGTGGTTCTGTAGCAGGAGCTGGAATGAACATGGGCGAGCAGATGTGCCTTCAACATACTGACTGCGTTTGCTTTCATATACACCTAGAACTGGGATTACTGAAACATATGGTAGTTCCATTTTTAAAAGCAAGTAATTTTTTTAGAGGCAAGA